GAGTTGGGTTAGGTTTTGTTCTGATCCAGAGAGATAAAGTGATAGAATATGAATCTCGAAAATTGAAAGAGCACCAGAAGAACTACCCCACTCATGATCTGGAGTTGGCAGCGGTAGTATTCGCATTAAACATATGAAGGCATTATATTTATGGCACAAAGTGAAAACTCTTCACTAATCATAAAAGTCTCCAGTATCTCATTGATAAAAAGGAATTGAATATGAGACAACGACGCTGCCTAGAGTTACTCAACGATTACGACTGTGAGATACTTTACCACCCTCGTAAAACAAATGTTGTAGCTGATGCTCTAAGTCGAAAAGTAAACCTGGAAAGAAAAAGGCCGAGAGCGTTAAGAATAGAAGTTGTCTCAACGATTGTGGAAAGCATTAAGAAAGCTCAGGAAGAAGCTTTGGAGAAAAATGACCGAAAGGAAGAACGTATAGGAAAAACGTTGGGATTCGATACAAACAGTCAAGGATTGAAGGTATTCCAAGATAGGATTTGAGTGCCTAAGATGGGAGGAATAAGAGATCTTCTGATGAAAGAAGCTCACAAGACCATGTACTCGATTCATCCCGGCAGCACAAAGATGTATAGGTATCTGAAACCCAACTACAGGTGGCTGACGATGAAGCTCGATGTTGCAAAGTATGTGGCAGAGTGTGTAACATGTACGAGATTTAAAGCACAACATCAGACACTGTATGGGAGTTTAGAACATTTACTTGTACCCATGGGTAAATGGGAAGACATCACCATGTATTTTGTGACTAAACTGTTGGATTAGGTGTCTAAGCCCATAACTATATTTGGTATGTACTTGACCCGATAGTAGCATGGTCCTTTTGGGTTGCCTTCACCAAAGCAACTTGACTGGATGAATAGTTGAGAAAGAGGATAAAAGTGATTTATTAATATATTATATAAATTCTATATTAAAAGTGAAATCATATTATTTAATTAACATTGGTCAAGAATTAATTTAGAAATAATTTTGTGGTCAAAAGAGGTTAATAGAATTAAGGGGACTAATATTGTAATTATGTGATAATTGCAATATGGGTTGAGGAACCCTAAAGAATGGATGGACGAATTCTATGGGAAGCCCACATAGAAATCGTCCATAGGGGCCTTCTGGAAGGATCCTGTGGACTGCTTAAGGCCTAAGCAATCTAATTAGGGTTTTGAATGAAACCCTAGCAGCTCACCTATATAAAGACCCTCTTGGCTTCCTATTTTCGGCTACCACAACCCTAGAAGGATTCCTAGAGCTGAAAACAGCTTTTCCCCTCTCCCTCTCTCTAATATTCTCCAATTTCTTTGGTGTTTGTGATCCATTAGAGGCATCGCATTTGAGGTGCTAGGTTCTCAAAAGCTCAAGGTTATCAAGCTACAATTGAAAGGTAACATTCTTACTTGTTTGTTTATGTTGATTTCGATTTTTGTATGCTAGAGTTAGGGTTTATGAGCTTTGGATGATTATTGCGTGTACAATTAGTAAAACCTAGATCCAAAGCTTTAGGGTTTGCATGTGCACCATAGGATTGATGTTTTGCTCATAAACCAACAGTGGCATCAGAGCCTAGGTCGTTTTTCTATTGTATTTGATGCATAGCTAAATTGTTCAAAGCTGAAAAAGTCGAAAAAACTGCTTCTGCCTAATGAACTCGTCGAGGCCCCTGATGAACTCGACGAGCCAGGGCTACTTGACGAGTCCAGTCTGTGACTCGGCGAGTCGGCTCGTCTGTTAGCAGATTTTTTGGGATTTTAACTAGAATTGGGTTGGTATAATTACCATAAACGTTTTTAACTGTAAAATCCGATTTTTTCAATATGGTATTGATTATCCTCATTCAATTAGAAGATAATTGTTAAATAATAAGATAATTACTTGTTTATATGATTAAATAAATTATTTGTATTATTTAATATGAATTAGGTAAAATTTAGATAATCACAAATTATTTGATAAATTAAATTATTTAAAATTTGATCTAGAGGGTTTTGAAAAAGTTTCAAAACTTGCCCTCAAGTTTTGGAATTTAAATTTTTGATTAAAAAGTTTTAATTTTGAAATATTTAAATTCTAAACTCTAGAGTTTTTAAAAGTTTAAAATTAAACCCTTATACTATTATAATATTAAAAGATTAATAATTATGTATATGTATAAGATAAGTCAGTCTTACCGTTAGTAGGCCTCATTCACGAAGCCGATCTATAAGGGGGTATAAGGTTACTGCCTATAAAATGGTGGTTTGATGGGTGTCCACTCTCACCCACCGCTTCCTTGATTGGTGGAGAATCGTTAGCCGAACGGGTAGAATAGGACAACTAATTCCTCATTAATAAGTATAATGATTTAATAAAGTAACTAAATGTTTTTTTATAAATTCCCAATCTTAGTTACTTTAGGAAAAATGTGAAAATGTATGCTATTCCATGAAAATACACTTTGCACCTTGCCAAGTCATTAGTGGAGCGTGTGTGGTTAACCGACGCACTAATATGGGACTAGCAAGGGTGGCAAAGGGTAGCTCGATGTTTATCATAGATCAATGGAGCGTGTGTGGTTAACCGACATATTGATTAGGTGGTAAATGACATTGAGAGTACCAAGTACATTTGCATGGTTATTCACACTTTGTTTGTGATCCTCGGTATCCCAGTCACAGACTTGAAGGGCATAATCAAGATTTAAACATGCCATTGAAAAGTTCAATGAATCTCAAAAAGAATCTAGGAATTTCAATTCATTTAAAACTTAAAATCCTTTTCGTTTTTCGTGATGGAAATTGGTAAAATCGTCATTTACCTACCTTCATATTATTTGTAATTAGATTACGGCATCCTTCTTCTGAATTGTAAATAATCATGTTGGGTCAAAGCCCTAATTTCTTCTTTGGGTGTTTAATTGGGGATTATTATCTAATCTAAACTTTGTTCCTTTTCTATTTCAGATGTCTACTCAAAACAATAATGCTTCTGGCTCGACCCCTTCTAGCTCATTCTCACTCATGAACTTGTGTGGGAGGGTGATATTTGATGGAACCAATTTTAATGATTGGATCCGCAACATACGCATGGTCACCAGCCACAAGGACAAAGAGTATGTTCTCGACAAGGAGCTGAAGGAGGTTAACGCGAACACTGCTACTCCCGAAGAAATTTCTGCGTACGAAACTCATGAAAAGGATGCAACGAAGCTACGTTAAATCATGCTCACAACAATGACTGCCGAACTCCAAAAGTCCTACGAGGACTACTATCCATACGAGATGCACCAAGATTTGATGGAAAGGTACCATCAAAGTGCTAGGCAGGAGAGGTACGAGATCATCGCCTCAATGATCACTACCAAACTGAAGGAGAGAGAGTCCATCACGGCCCACTTGCAGAAAATGCAAAGGTTTGTAGACCGCTTTCTAAAGTTGAAATAATTCTACACTCGTTGCCTCCTTGTTATGACCAGTTTCGTATGACCTATCATATGAACAAGGAGGAGGTCACTCTGAGCAAGCTTCAAGGCTTGCTAAGGACTGCTGAGAGTAGTCTAAAAGGAAAATCTGTTGCATCTGCTCCTACTACTGCTGCCCCTGTCTTGGCTATTGGGCAAGGGAAAGGAAAGAAGAGGAAGGCTCCGCCTAAGATCCACAAGGGTAAACCCCATGATGGATCCTCTTCTAGCAGGACCAAAGCTGCTACTGCTACTACTTCTTCCAATCCAAAAGAAGCAGAGTGCTTCTACTGTCACGACAAAGGGCGTTGGAAACGAAGTTGGCTGAAGTATCTGCATGACATCAAGGATGGGAAGATAAAGCCCTCCTTCGTAGGTATTTATACTATTCATTCTAACAACTCATCACATGATATTTCTTGGGTCCTTGATACATGATGTGGTTTTAACATTTGTTCTGATTTGTAGGGTCTAAGAAGAAGTAAGGATGTGGAGCATGGCACTACTAGAAAAACAGCCTTTTACGACGCGCAATGCGTGTCGTAAAACGCTCAGACGACGCGCAGATGTGTGTCAAGGAAGGCCCTGTCATAACGAGAGACGACACGCTTTTGCGCGTCGTCTATTTACGACGCACATTTACGACGCGCATTTATGACACGCATTTACGACGCGCAGTTATGACACGCAAAGCGTATCAAGGAAGGCCCTGTCATAAAGGAATACGACACACATTTGCTTGTCGTAACCTTACGACGCGCATGTTTATGACACACAATGCGTATCAAGAAAGCCCCTGTCATAAATGAAGATGACACGGATTTGCGTGCCATAAACTTCAGCAACCATTTACGATATGCATTTACGACGCGTCTTTACGATACTCATTTACGCATAATACAAAAATATGTAAACAAATATATACCAAAACAATCAATTTCATCGAATAACATCATGTCAAAAAATTGTAATACATTGATATTAAGGGGATCTAATTGTACATTAGTATTATTAAGAGGTTTTCCCTAACTATATAACCTAATACTACATTGCTATTAAGGGACACCTTCTACAATGTAATGCTATACAAACTAAGAAGATATACACAAAGATGATAAACATCAAATTCCAACTAAGTAGAGTTGCATCTTGCCTTTCATAATTCTTTAAGACTAATGAACCCCTTCTCCGATAATTCTTGTGACCTGATCAAATAAAAGTCAAAAAATTAATATGCTAATATAATTATTAGAAGAATCAAACATGGAATGTTCGTTGCAGATAATACCTCAGGCTAATAGACAATCCTTGATCCTATAAACTAGAGAGTATGTCATCACAATTCCATCTAACACCACCCATGAGAACCCGTAAAGCTACTCAACCAACATATCATGTCATGTAATGTATTTTTTGTCAGTATATTTTCACGTAGAAAAAAAAGAAGTGAAATAAATAAAAAATAGTAAGTACCAATAATGATGTATTGTTTCCAGTGAGATGGAGCTTGTAGACTATACCGTATTGAAATATCAAGACCCTCAAGCACAAGATAGTTTCAAGTACACGCCCTCTGATTGTCTGTTCACATCACATCCCAATCATCAAAATCTTATAAGATAGATTCATGAATTTGGAAAAATAAAATAAAATAACTGGAAGCATACTTCTGCCATTCGAAGTCCCAGAGTCGGACAGTTGTGTCACCTGAACCACTAGCTAACTGTTGTCCATCAGGAACTAGAAATACAATTTCCAAGGGGTAGAATCGTCCAGGTTGCTTCTGAAGTTTCTTTCGTTCCCATGCCTCCCATGAATTCCCAGTCTTTTCAAGAAACAGCCGTTTAAATTGTTGAATTGCATCAGACTTACTCAATTCTTCCAACTTATTTCCTCCAATTTTTTCATTGCTAACTCGACCCCACTTCCGGAACACATAGTAGCCTGACCCTTTATCTTCTTCATTGATCTGGAGGATATAATAACTTCATGCAGAAAACACGTATAAGAACACGAGTGAAAAGGATGATTTATATATAAATAATACATGTTTTTTGTAAGAATCACCTGTTGATTCCAGTTGATAAGTCAGACAAGCTCAAAGTTGTGTTATAAATGCTTTTTCCATGCTCCAAAATATCCCCAGAATCTTGCAAACCAGGTGCTTCATGGACTGCACTTCGTTCTTTGACTTTTACAGTCACCATGCTTTTTGACTCTTCAGTGGCTTCAATTTTATACAAATCAAAACAAAGTTTCTTCTGTTTTGAAAAGCAGTCAACCAGTTTCTTCAGTGGCAACACATATTCAAGAATAAAACTGACAAAACTATCCTTTTTCTTCTCATAACCTTTTGATGAAAAAAAAATTACACATGAAGGGTATAATTGTAATTTTAATGACAAAGCTATGTGATGTGAAACAAAGTACTACATTGATTTCTTTATCTCAACATTCAGATTATCCGGTACTCCACTTACCACCAAGCAGCTTGTGAATTGTGCACAATTTGACACTTCACTTCATAAATAAAAGAAGGCATTATGTCTTATCTGTGTAAGACAAACTTACTTGATCGGTGTTGTAGACGATGTACTCATTATACATCAACTCGTATGCCTTAACATTTGATGATACCGAATTTCCACATGGCACAACAACATCATCCTTCCACTTAATGTGTTCAGACTCATTAGGGATCTTCTTCCCAAGTCCTTTAGTCGGGTCCTTCCCTTTTGGAGGTTTGTCCATATGCTATAAATATAAAAAGGACAAATAAATAAGTTAATTACTAAAACAGAACATTTATTTCACATATAAGTATAACTGACCTTGGCCTTCTTAAGCTCATACATCTCTCCCAAAGCAACTTCACTTTATAGCATTATGCCCACCAGATTTTTCTTGTCAGTAAAACAATACCGAGCACTTTTGCTCACCAAATAAGCAAAATAAATCCCTTTTTCCAAACTACAAACATATAAAAAGATTACTTTCTTCATCTATATATATATATATATATATATATATATATATATATATATATATACAGAGAGAGAGAGAGAGATAGGACCATGTAGTCGGTTGCAGGAGCTTCAGGGGGAGCTATTCGCAATCCTTGGCTTAAAATACCAACATAGCTTGTCAAACGAGAACCTATTAAGAACAATAGATTTCATTATCATCAATGAAAAAGGCATTAATGCCCTTCTTATCTTGCATGATAGATGAAACTTAAAAGAAAAGGTTTGAAGCTACTATACCATTCCAAAGGAGCATCTTGTTCTTGAATTTATTTTATATGGAACAAACTTATCAAACTCTCCTTGTATTTCAACTGTGAAAACTTCTTCCAGTTCAAGTGCCCAATCCTACAATTTACAAAGTACAAACAAGGCTAGCCTTTCAGCATAATGTCAAAATACCAAAAAGCCCAAGAAACTACAAGTCAAAAAAAGTCATACCGTATGTGTAGGTGCATGTGTAGTTTAGAGATACTTCTCAACTAACTGATAATTTTCACTATCACGAGGAAGTGGGACTATTTCACATTGAAACTTTTTATATTTATCATCGAGTGAATCATCATTTTCCACATCAAACCCTACTAGCCTTGAATCTATTTCAGTATCCTGAAGTGCTTCCAACATTTTGACCTACCAATATAACAAGAATGAATGTCATCATATTGATCCTAACAGATCAATGAATTATTAAAAATATAAACAAATAGTCACCGGTACCTTTAATTTGAAGTCATCCTCATCCTTGATTACATGTGGATGAACAGAAGGAATGACTTTAAAAAATCGGTTGGTGGTATCAACAATCAAGCTTTCTTTTAGAGGAACAAACATATTTTTCTTGTAAAATTAATACAGAAAATATGCACAGATTATAATTACATCATATTGAAATTCATTACCAATTTTCCTTACCTTTCTGGATATTACTTTTGCTAAGATGCACAGATTATGTTTCCACGTTAAACAACATCTTCATCAACTCTTCTGACGCAGGAGAAAGTTGGCTTTTAGCAGACCCTACTGTACATAGGAGATACCTATAAATCAGAGAGATAAATTAGTGTAACCAGTAAGAATGTAGGATTTAAATAACTTATAGTTGTATTGTCACTTACAGTCATAACTTATAGTTAGACTCCAACTAGACAGGTCAAATCCATAATTCCATGCAATCACAACCATAAACTAAGCCAGTCAAGATATACAACTAAGAAGTAAGAACATGCCAAAAATGTAAAGCAATTGAAAATTGGCACTGGGCAGCTGCTTGCTTTCCTTTCCTTTCCTTTGTCTGTTTTGGTTTTGTATTGTAGGTTGCTGCTATGCTATTCTTTTTTGGACCCCCTTTAAATGTGTTGTTGATATGATCCCCATCCCCCCTCCCCCTCTCCCTCCCCGGGTGGGTGTTGGTTTATCTTCTCTTCTCTTGTCCTGTCTTGGTGAGATATGTCATGTGTAATTTAGCAAGTAGTACATAGGAAGATTTTGTTGAATGAGCAAGAGCGATTGAGTGTATAAGCAAGCTCCCTCTCTGCCTAGCTAAAATAGTTCTTTTTTTTCTTTTTGTATGTTGGATGTAAAATGGATGCTCATATGCTACATGAATTTTGTAAAGAGTTCCAATTTTACTGATACTGCTTGCACTTTACAGGTACCTAGCTCCTTACACTTTACACTTTATATCTTGCCATGTATTATATACATAATATCAAGCAACAACAGTACAAAAAAAACAGGAATAACTGGAATAAGTTTGCTCACAGTCAAGACTGGTGTTTCTAAATTGTTAAACATATTTGTTTTTAATATTTTTTTACCACTGATATGTGTTTAATCAATAAGTGTTTCTCTTAATTTTAAGAGAATAATGTTTTTCTTATAGTTTTGGAACAGAGTGTTCATGGTTACACAATTAAATTCATAAAATCATCACTTGTATAACAACTACAGAACGGCGGCCCATGCTAGTTCTTGAGAAATGGAGGGTACTGGTTATTAATGGTGGTTTGAACCACTACACAAGTCAAATTGTAACTATGGTTATTTCTATATCTTGGCAGCTGGCAGCCATGAGATAATGCATATTTTCCAAAATAATGTTATATTTCATCCAACATTGACTATGTGTGTTTTGATGTGTGGATGAAGCGCCAGGGATACTGACAGGACATATATAATAAAGACATGTTACATACGTTGGAAACTTGGTCTTTATCATTACTCCCACCAGCTATGTTGGTTCCCTTTTCAAGCTTCAAAGCAGTCGCAGGAGCCCTTTGGATGGCCTTACCTACCAAGATTCTTAACTCCTCATGGAATTTCATTTGCATGAACTGAATCTTGCAGGAGCCCTTTGGATGGCCCTTTGGTTCCCTTTTCAAGCTTCAAAGCTATGTTGGTCCAAGAACTCAAAATTGTTTTCAATGATCTTCTGGTAACACACCTACAACAACCAAAAACATCTTCACTTTAATAAAAATGATGATGATCCAAAATAAAATGCACAATGGGTTAATTGTATTCTTGAAACTATAAAAACAAGGTATTTAAAACGTGATGCGAATAAGAGCTTTTCTCTCAGGTACTGAGTCTTCAGTTGTAATACTCGAAAGTCTGAACTTTGCTCTCAACATGTATTCCTACAACATTCACTCAAACCTCTCAATAACAGAATAAAAAACAATTGAATTTTATAAAATTTCATTTTGTATCTATAATGTTTTGAATAAGTAAAACAACAGTAATTCAATCTTCACACCTAGAACATCGATCCGGGGGATTTTCTTTCCTTCCAAGCTTCGATTAAAAAAAATGTGACAAAATCGAAAAGGTTTTTACCTCAGAATCTCAGATTATAAACGAAAGGGGAGATGTAAGATGGCTTTGATCGTGAGGGGTTTTAGAGAGAATGGGAAGAAAAAGGAGAGGGGCTTGGGTTTTTAGACTGAGATAGGGATGGCGAGATTTAAGAATGAGTGAAAATTAAGCTACTTGGGTGAAAATGGAGCTGTGATATTTGTCTTGAGCACGTAATCTTTGTCTTGAGCACACCTTCGAAATCAAAGAATGGAATTTGGTACCTTGTATGTTTTCACAAAGAAGAATGTTGATTAAACCCCAGGTAATTCCTTTTTTGCGTCTCTCTTTCCATTACGTTCTATTATGCGAGCGTACCCCTTCATCCCGTTGAAGAACTTGAGACGTTTTTGATGAAGGAAACCCATAGAAACATTGATCAGGGTTTAAGTTGGTTAACACGCTTTGGATCTTCTGATTCTTGGTCGTGGGCCTAGACATCTTTTCCCCTCTACTACCAGTTCAACCCAACACAAATGGATCTTGAGTTGAATAACGCACTGGGATAGAGTACCGACCGACGGAAATAACCCCTCCTCAACGTCATTGAGGAATTAGATTATTGCAGAACATAACAAGATAACAAAAGTACTTATAGGAACTTCAAGTATGAGGCGGGGTATTAGGGTTTCTTTTGATCGATGAAGATTTTAGGAACTTCAAGTATGAAATTATCGATCTTTTACACACAATGCTTTTAGGGTTTATTTTGATTGAAGAGGATTTTACAACATACGAAGAAGAAGAAGGACGAGAGTATCAAGGCGGGGTTTTTTATTTTTTGGATTTCATTCCCCCCTTGGAAATTAAAAAATTGGAGAACGCGCATTCATAAAGAAAAATATAAAGCGACAGTTTTAGACGACACGCTTTTTTATGATAGGTGCCCTCCGTGTTTTTGACTTTTTTGTTGGACACTATTTTTAGGGCACGCACAAATGCGTGTCCTCTATCCTTCAAATTTTGCAAAACTAACATTATTTTTTAGGGCACACACAAATGCGCGTCCTCTATCAGCGAGTGTCATTGTTTGTGCGTCATTAAAGGGCTATTTTCTAGTAGTGTGGGAAGATGAACCTGATCATGGGGAATAGGAAAGTGTCGCCTGTCACCAATATTGGATTTTACTCTTTAGTGCTTAGTAGTGGGTTAGGTTTAGATTTAAATGATTGTTGCTACTCGTGAGAAATGGCGAGAAAGATTATATCTTTTCATGGTTTGTACAGACAAGGTTTTAAATTTTTGTTTAATAATGAAATTGGTTCTATTAATGCTTTCTTGAATGGTACTTTCTATTTTGAAGCATTGCCTTATAATGGAGTATATGAAACTATGAATGTTGTAGATAACTTAGGAAATAATTTGTTGCATATTGATTCGTCCAATGGTTTGGACAAAGCATGTTGTGGCATTGTCGTCTTGGACATGTCAATAAGAAACGCATAGCCCAACTCCAAAAGTATGGAGTGTTGGAGTGATTCAACCTCAAGTCAGATGATACATGCAAATCTTGTTTGCTTGGAAAGATAACCAAGTCACCCTTCACTGGTACTTGTGAAAGGGGTGAGGGTTTATTGGATCTCATACATACAGATGTATGTGGACCCTTTAGATCTACCACAAGGGATGCGAACCACTTCTATATGACTTTTACCGATGATTATAGCAGACATGGGTATATCTACTTAATCAAGCACAAGTTAGAAACGTTTGAAAATTTCAAAGAGTTTGAGCAAGAAGTATAGAATCATCTGGGCAGGAAAATTAAGATGCTCTGATCCAATCGAGATGGTGAGTATCTTAGTATAGAATTCCACGACTACCTCAAGGAATGCATAATCGTTTCGCAATTGACGTTACGCAGTTGAATGGTGTGGCTGAGAGGCGCAATCGGACCTTGTTGGACATGTTTCGTGTAACGCCCCATTTCTGGTATGTAATTTAAATATAGTATTTTTCCTTTCTTAAGAGGTACTCGATGAGTCAGTAGCCCGACTCGTCGAGTAGAGACGGGAGTGGCACGCGTTTTTAGTGGGCGACTCGACGAGTCCATATTCCGGACTCGGCGAGTCTGCCAGTCTGGATGAAACCCTAAATCCCATGGATTTTACCCTATTTAAACGTCATTATAGCCTCCCATCCCAGCCTCCAGCACCTCAAGAGCATTTCTCTGTAAACCCTAGTCCCCATTGATGAGCTTGAGTGTTTTGTGCTAGCTTGGAAGTTGTAGAAGAGAAGGAAGGAAAGAAGACTAATAGAAGAGAAAGGAAATCCAGAATCTAGCTTCCATTTGCTACATATTCTGGTAATAAAGTTATCACCTTGCTTATTCTTCCATTAAACCCTATTTTATGCTTGTTTATGTTCCTCTTGGATCTTTATATGATTCAAACTCGAGGATTGAACTCTCCTTAGGATGGAAACCATAGATCTGGATGTTATTGAGCTCTAGGAGCTCAATGTAGCTACTTTTATGCAAATATAGCCTTGTTCCAAACCCTAAGTGCTTATTGTTGGATGATTTTGGTGTTTAAGCCCCATTCTCTTGTGCATGCACGTAAAGTTGGAAACTTTACATGTAAAACCAGCCCCAGAAGCCCAGATCTATGAATTGGATGTGCTGAAATCGACTAGAATCGACTATATAGTAATGGAATGCATGAGACTCGGCGAGTCGTCCTTAGGACTCGACGAGTCGGTTCGTAAACCCCAATTATTTTTCCCCCTTTTTGTGTTACGAGTGGGACGAGTGAATGAAGATTAGACTCGGTAAGTTAGGAAGCAGAATTAGAGATGGAGGGACTCAGCAAGTCTACGCCATGACTCGGCGAGTCCAAGGCAATCTTCTTGCCTCAAGAACAGACTCGACGAGTTGTTCATACAACTCGGCGAGTCACAAAGAGGACACGTTCATATGATGAAGGAGAACCCGACGAGTTGTTCATACAACTCGGCGAGTCGGATGAAGTTAGACTCGATGTTAGTATGGAAGAAGAACTCGTCGAGTCTTTGCAAAACTCGATGAGTAGAAGCGGGTAGAGGATTAGAAAGGATGATAGGGGCTCGGCGAGTTGGAGGCCCAACTCGGCGAGTCCGGTCAACTGAAATTTGACTTTGACCAGGAAGTTGACTTTGACCAGGATGTTGTCTTTAACCAGGGGTAAAATAGTTATTTTGCCCTGAGATTAGTTATCAGTATTTGATTTAGTGTTTATGGGATTTGTAGCCGAGGAGTTCCGGAGCAGCAGTCAGACAGTTTCAGATTTAGCATCTCAGCAGCCAGCTTTACGAGGTGAGTTTTCCTTCCAGTAGAACGGGTCTACGGCCACAATGTGGGCCCGTTTAGTTAGCAGTAGTTCCGGACTGCGGTCCGATGCAGGAGTTCAGTATGGTTGGTGTCTTTATGATAGAGGCATGGTATGTGTTGAGTGTTCCGGACTATGGTCCGATGCAGTATGCAGTATATGTGTTCATATTATATGCTATGATTATGTTATGCTATGTTCAGTCAGTTCCGGGCTTTGGTCCAATGCAGTTCCGGACTTCGGTCTGATGCAGTGGGCAAGGCCCTAGTCAGTTCCGAACTTCGGTCTGATGCAGTTGGCGAGACCCTAGTCAGTTCCGGACTTCGGTCCGATGCAGTGGGCGAGGCCCTAGTCAGTTCTGGACTTCGGTCCGATGCAGTGGGCGAGGCCCAGTATGTGCTTTATATGTTATTGTATGGTATGTGGTAGTTTGGGGGAGCTCACTAAGCTTGTGCTTATAGTTTCAGTTTTGGTTTCAGGTACTTCAGCTAGCAAGGGGAAGAGCTCGGGATGATGGCATGGCACACACCACAATTCTAGCCTGGGAGTTAGACTCTGATATTTGATATGATCTTGACTTCAGTTGTTATGAGATATGTTTGATGACATTTTGAGACGTACGATTTATGGTTTCTTATATAATATTTGGATCTGATGGTTTTAGAAATGTATTAAAAAAGAAATTTTTTTGGCTTGTATTTTTGGGATGTTTCAAGTTGGTATCAGAGCCTTGGTTTTAGGGATTCGGGCACACTTTTGAGTGTGTCTGAACTCAAACTAAGGAATTGGTAGAGAATTTCCAAAAGAAAAATCATTTTTTTAAAAGAAATCCGTTTTAGAAAAGAACTTTGAAAAGAGAAAAAGGGTGTGTGCATGCAATCAGCCGAGCTCAAGTAAGTACTCCCAAACTACCCATACAAGTTTTTGTTATGTTTATCAGCTTATGAGAATTGCATGCTAGTTAGGACTAAGGATCTAGGAAGGATGCCTTATGTGCCTATTATATGTGTATCAGCTTTATGAGAATTGCATGCTAGTTAGGGCTAAGGATCTAGGAAGGATGCCTTATGTGCCTGTTATATGTGTACCAGCTTATTGAGAGATGCATGCTAGTATAGATTAGCCAGTATGGTAGCCAGAGTAGTATATGCTTTAGTATGTGTACTCAA